AAAATCCTATAAAATATAAAGACTTAAAATGAAATAAATATTAGTATGCCTCATATCTACAATCTAGTAGAAGAATTTCAGACAGATTTAAAGGGGTCACATGACCTGGAGGCTATTGAAGAAAAACACCAAATTCTGAATTTAAAAAATATCCCCCCATATTTAAAATGACTTAAAATGTAATATAAATGTGTGTGCTTCATTAGCCCCATCTAGTAGAATAATTTCAGACAGATTTTGAGACAATGGGTCACATGACCTCGAAGCTATAAAGAAAAACTAGATTTTGAATAAATAAAATCGTAAAAGATTATAAAAAGGAAATAAAGATGAGTGCGTCTCATATTACCCATCCTGTAGAAACACTTGAGACAAATATTTAGTCAATATGACGCATAACCTGGAAGCTACTGCAGCAAAACACAAAATTTGTATTTAAAAAATCCCATAATATAGCAAAACTTTTAAATAAAATAAGTATGCCTCATCCTACTTATCTGGTAAAACAATATTAGACAAATTTTGGGAAAATGGGTCACATGACCTGGAAGCTATTGAAGAAAACACTAAATTTTTAAGAAATAAAATCCTAAAAAAAATATAAAAAGGAAATAAAGATGAGTGCGTATCATATTACCCATCCTGTAGAAACATTTCAGACAAATTTGGAGTCAATTTGACCCATAACCTGGAAGCAATTGCAGAAAAACACTAAATTTTTATTTTTAAAAATCCCATAAAATATCAAAATACTTCAAGTGAAATAAAATAAGTCTGCCTCATCGGTCCCATGTAGTAAAACAACGTCAGAATGTCAGTAAATGTTCACATGACCTAGAAGCTATTGAAGAAAAACACTCAATTTTGAATAAATAAAATCCTAAAAAATATAAAAAGGAAATAAAGATGAGTTTGTCTCATATTACCCATCCTGTAGAAACATTGCAGATGATTTTGAGTCAATATGACGCATAATCTGGAAGCTACTGCAGAAAAACACTAAATTTGTATTTAAAAATCCCATAAAATATCAAAATACTTCAAATAAATTAAAAGAAGTTTGCCTCCTCTGTCCAATGTAGTAAAACATCGTCAGAATTTCAGTAAATGTTCACATGACCTGGAAGCTATTGAAGAAAACACTAAATTTTGAATAAATAAAATCCTAAAAAATATAAAAAGGAAATAAAGATGAGTGCGTCTCATATTACTCATCCTGTAGAAACATTTCAGACACATTTTCAGTCAATTTGACCTATAACCTGGAAGCTACTGCAGAAAAACACAAAATCTTTATTTTTAAAAATCCCATAAAATATCAAAATACTTTAAGTGAAATAAAATGAATCTGCCTCATCGGTCCCATGTAGTAAAACAACGCCAGAATTTCAGTAAATGTTCACATGACCTGGAAGCTACTGAAGAAAAACACTCAATTTTGAATAAATAAAATCCTAAAAAAATATAAAAAACAAATAAAGATGAATGCGTCTCATATCACCCATCTTGTAGAAACATTTTAGACAAATTTTGAGTCAATTTGACGCATAACCTGGAAGCTACTGCAGCAAAACAGAAAAATTTGTATTTAAAAATCCCATAATATATCAAAACACTTAATTTAAATGAGTGTGCCTGCCTCATACTACTTATCTGGTAAAACAATATTAGACACATTTTGAGAAAATGGGTCACATGACCTGGAAGCTATTGAAGAAAACACAAAATTTTGAATAAATAAAATCCTAAAAAAATATAAAAAGGAAATAGAGATGAGTGTGTCTCATATTACTCATCCTGTAGAAACATTTCAGACAGATATTTAGTCAATATGACGCATAACCTGGAAGCTACTGCAGAAAAACACTACATTTGTATTTAAGAAATACCATAATATATCAAAACACTTAAATAAAATGAGTATGCCTCATCCAACTTATCTTGTAAAACAATATTAGACTAATTTTGGGAAAATTAGTCACATAACCTGGAAGCTACTGCAGCAAAACACTAAATTTTGAATAAATAAAATCCTAAAAAAAAATATAAAAAGGAAATAAAGATGAGTTTGTCTCATATTACCCATCCTGTAGAAACATTTCAGACAGATATTGTGTTAATTTGACCCATAACCTGGAATGAATTGCAGAAAATCACTAAATTTTTATTTTAAAAAATCCGATAAAATATAATACCTAAAGTGAAATAAAATAAGTCTGCGTCATCTGTCCCATGTAGTAAAACAACGCCAGAATTTCAGTAAATGTTTCACATGGCCTTGAAGCTATTGAATAAAAACACTAAATTTTGAATAAATAAAATCATAAAAATATAAAAAAAGAAATAAAGATGAGTGCGTCTCATATTACTCATCCTGTAGAAACATTTCAGACAAATCTTGAGTCAATATGACGCATAACCTGGAAGCTACTGCAGAAAAACACTAAATTTGTATTTAAAAAATCCCATAATATATCAAAACACTTAAATAAAATGAGTGTGCCTCATCCAACTTATCTTGTAAAACAATATTAGACTAATTTTGGGAAAATCGGTCACATGACCTGGAAGCTATTGAAGAAAAACACCAAATTTTGAATAAATAAAATCATAAAAATATAAAAAGGAAATAAAGATGATTGCGTCTCATATTACCCATCCTGTAGAAACATTTCAGACAAATCTTGTCAATATGACACATAACCTGGAAGCTGCAACAAAACAGAAAAATTTGTATTTAAAAATCCCATAATATATCAAAACACTTAAATAAAATGAGTGTGCCTCATCCTACATATCTGGTAAGACAATATTAGACTAATTTTTAGAAAATGGGTCACATGACCTGGAAGCTATTGAAGAAAAACACTAAATTTTGAATAAATAAAATCCTAAAAAAATATAAAAAGGAAACAAAGATGAGTGCGTCTCATATTACTCATCCTGTAGAAACATTTCAGACAAATCTTGTCAATATGAAGCATAACGTGGAAGCTATTGCAGCAAAACAGAAAAATTTGTATTTAAAAATCCCATAATTTCATATC